GACTTACCGTTATACATATGATTCTGTGCCCTGCCTATTGCAGATTGACTATCACAATGAATGCAAATAGCTGGCATAGGTTTTGGCCACATTAGAATGTCTTCTAAGAAGTGACGAAGCCATTCTGCTTCTTCTCCTGCTTTGTCTAAAGCAATGAACTCGGATTCTATTGTGGATCGTGCGATGCATGTTTGTTTCGTGGATTTCCAAGAAACGGTAGCGCCTCCCAGAGTAAAGACATATTCACTTGTAAATTTTGAATCTTTAGTATCCGATATCCAATTTGCATCACAATAACCTTCGAGTACTGCTGGATATCGAGTAAAATTCAAACCATGATCACGGGTGAATCTTAGATATCTAAGAACCCGAATGATCGCCTTCCAATGGTCTTTTCCGGGGTTACTAGTGTACCTACTCAATTTACTAATAGCATAAGCTATATTAGGATGAGTACAATTCATTAGGTACATTAGGTTTCCAATGATTTGGGAGTATTTTAACTGAGACACCGCATCACCTTTATTTTTTGATAAATAAAGATTGATGTCTACAGGTGTTCTAGCTAAATTCATATCATCCTTGATAAATTTACCAAGAATTTTCTCAATATAATGTGATTGAGATAATGCATATCCGTCAGATGTTTTAGTAATTTCCATTCCTAATATAACATCTGCGACCCCCATATCTTTCATATCAAATCTTCTATTAAGCATTTGCATAGTTGATTTAATCATGTTTTGATTGCTTCCAATGATAAGCATGTCATCCACAAAAAGACAAACTATGACATATCCTTGGTCAGTGTTTTTAACATAGGTGCACTTGTCACATTTGTTTATCTTAAACCCATTAGTAAGCATAGCATGATCAAATTTTTCATGCCATTGCTTAGGTACTTGTTTTAATCCATAAAGAGATTTCACAAGCCGACAAACTTTCTTTTCTTGCCCCAGTACTACAAACCCTTCGGGTTGCTCCATTTAGATCTTTTCATTTAGATCACCGTTTAAGAAAGTTGTCTTAATATCCATTTGATGTATTTCTAAATTAAACAATGCTGCTATGGCAATAAGCACGCGAATAGATGTTATTCTTGTCACAGGGGAATATGTGTCAAAATAGTCCAGACCTTCCTTTTGTCTGTAACCTTTTACTACAAGTCTTGCTTTATACTTGTCTATTGAACCATCTACTTTCATTTTTCTCTTGAATATCCACTTATATCCAAGAGGTTTAGAACCTGGCAGAAGATCCATTTTTAAATTGAGACATTTAAATTTTTTTAAATTTTATTAAATATAATACATAATAAAATATTAAAGAACAAAAATATAATTTCATTGTCTAATTCCTCTAAGATGAGTTATTCTATAATTTCTATCCCAATCCTCATAAGATAAGATAGTCTCACAAATATGATACTATTATTCCGAGAAAACTATCAATCTAAAATAAAACTTTTGAAACAAACAATGAATTATTAATCAGTGAGACTAATAATCCAATGTTATGCCCTAATCCTTCGAAAACAAACACACCCTCGGACTCTCTCCTAAAGCGACGCAACAACAGAAGAGAAGGGTCCAATTCCAATACTCCAATAGGCACCGTTCCTAGTTGAAAAATGAAAGATTTTTGATTTTGTGTCTTCATCTCTCTGAAAATGGAAGATCAAATGTGCTTCGACTATCTTCAACGTCGAATTCGCTCCAATTTCTCTGATAATCTCACTTTTCCAATGCCATCTCCGATTCTTCCTTTCCTTTCGCCTCCACCGTCGTCGTTCAGGTTCATCATATTTATACACTCCACCACCACCAAACTCATATGACTTCTTGTTTATACATGAATTATTATTATTTTTTATATTTAATTCGTTTATTTCTTTTGTTGTATCGATGTAGATGTCAAATTCTAGTAGCGAGGCTTCATCTGAGTTCATATTGGTGTATCTACCTAGTGGCTAATACGATTGCTTGACAGAATACATGTATGTTACTCGATTTGATATGATTTACCTATGCTATGGCTTTCTATGATTTGCTGTGAATTTTGATACGATGTGATTCCGATTGGACTTGGATTCTTTTTTCCAGTGATGAGCATTGTCCGGAAGATCTTCAAGGTAAACACAATGGTGAGAGTGGTGACACAATTGCATCAGTGATTGATCAAGATCAAACTTGTTCACTAGACACTACATTGAAGGAAATCCAGTCCACTGGTGGTAGAAGAACATTCCTGGATGGGTTCGGATGCAAAAATTCGACTTGTAACTTTGCCAGTCGATTTTCTTGCTTTAGGACAATCACTTCCTTGGCTCCAATTGCTCAGGTTGGCATTTCATCTTACTCCTTGTCTGAAGAGCTTGCTTCTAACTATTTTTCTAGGTTTGCTGAAGGCCACGTATTGAGCTCACTTGCTCTTCTGATTGAAGGAAAAGCAACAGGACGAGATAGTATAAATCTTCTTAGTTTAATTGGGATACCGGCATTTAAACAAGCCTAAAACCATTTTTACTTAACAAAGAACCAGAAACTAAATTCTTCCGGATGTCAGGTACATGTCGTACGTTGTTGAGGGTCAGTTATTTCCCTGATGTCATCTTCAAGATCACTTTTCCTTGTCCAGCCACAGTAGAAGTAGAAGAATTTCCCATGAAAAGTTGTTCACCATTTGCAGCCTCATTGTAGGTAGTGAATATCTTCTTGTCCGCACATATGTGACAAGTTGCTCCTGTGTCAACCCACTACTCTTTGATATTTCCAACCAAGTTAGCCTCAGACACCACAACAGAGAGGTTGATGTCATTCACCCCGTCAGAGATGTAATCTAGTTCAGTTACATTGGCCTGACTGGTAGTCTTCTTGCTTGTACTTCCATGATCCTTCTTAGGGCGGCGGCAGTCAGAAGCTCGATGTCCAGTCTTGCCACAATTATAGCATTTTCCTTTGAACTTCTTGTTGCTATCGCCTTGTTTAGGACCATCTCCAGTAAACTTTTTCTTTTTGTTATGTGGTTTATGAACTTGTTCAACCACATTAGCCTTGGACTCAATGAAATTTTTCTCATTCCTCTTTTCAGCCTTACGATTATCTTCCTCAATTCTTAATCTTACAATAAGTTCATCCGTGGTCATCTCTTTGCGTTTATGTTTTAAATAATTTTTGAAATCTTTCCAAGCCGATGGTAACTTTTCCACTAAAACAGCGACTTGGAAAGACTCGCTAAGAGACATACCTTCTGAATGAATATCATGCAAGATTATTTGAAAATTTTGAACTTAAGAAATTACCGTTTGGAAGTCTACCATGACAAAGTCCAGAAATTTACCGACAACAAATTTCTTCGTGTCGACATCCTCTGTCATATATTTTTTCTCCAAAGAATCCCACAATTCTTTGCTGAATTCAAAGGACTGTAAATATTATACAGCATGTTGTCAAGGCCATTAAGGATGTAGTTTCTGCATAGGAAATCTGAATGTTTCCAAGCATCTACAGCAGTAGTCCTGTTTGGTAGAGCTGTGGAAAAGTACTTATAGCTTATGCCTAAACAGCTTATATCTTATAACTATGAACATAAGCTGATTTCTGACTTATTCTTAAAGCATCTCCTGCCCCACTCAAAGAATAAGCTGATTTCTGACTTCCAAAAAGCTATAAGCTATAAGCTATAAGCTAAACCAAACACATCAAAATAACTTAAATTAAGCTGAAAGCTGAAATAAGCTGATTATAATTTCTGCCAAACAGGCACAGTAACAACTTGCCGATCACTTTCACCCTCTTTAAGTGCTGGAGCCTCTTCATGGAGAAACCGGGCCAAATTAAGAGTTGTAAGATAGAACAGCATTTTCTGCTGCCATCTTTTAAACTCAGTACCGTTAAATTTTTCCCGTTTTTCTCCATGATTGAATGGTACTTGAACATGGTTCTGGATAGGGACCGGTGTTGGTGTAACAATTGGAGTTCCACTACCAGTTACAGTTTCAGTTGCAGTAGCCATAATCTCTTATTACAAAAATTAGAAAAAATTAAAACACAAATTAATTTTCGAGTTACTAAAACCAGAAAATAAATTATAAACCAAAATAATTTTATTTTCCTTGTTACTAAAACTAGAAAAATAAAATACCACAAAAATTTTCTGTAACACAAATTAATATTCTGTAATTGTTAATGACACAAGTATATTACTACTAGTTGTCAAAGAAAATAGACAGTATATTATTACTATCTGTCAAATAGCATAAACCACTATTTGTTTTTCCAACCAGAATATGTCTTTATGAAATTACAGAAAATTAAATACAATGAAGATACCAAAATCGGTTCTGTCTTAAGATTGTTGGACAATCTTCACTGTAATTAATTAATTCTGTTTGTGTACTTAATAACAAACAGAATATAAAAGAAATAAAGGAAATGAGAGAAAATTGTTTGATTACAAAAATCAAACTAGAAATAAAATTAAATAAATAAAAACTGATTTTATTTCGTTACAAAAACAAAATCAAAATCTGATTTAATAAACAAATAAAACAGAATAATAAATTAAACAACTTACTTGATTAATTTCTTCGAATAATAATCTGATCAAGTCCAGTGTTTGACACTGTGTCCTTAAGATAGATTCGCCTTCTCCTCGGTGCTTTCAGAATATGGACGTCTATCTCCTAGGATGAAATGATTAACAACAAATAAATGCAGCACTACAATTTATTTGTTCAACGAACACACTTAACTTAGTGTATACATTCTTTCTGACAGAAAAATAATGGAATAAATGCAGCAAAATGCAGAGATGATTTGCAGTAAAAGATGGACGAAAATTGAAGTACAAATCCAAATGGGGAACTAGTCTATTTATAGATGTCTTGGTGGCTGCAGGTTTTGAATTAAACAGGTGCAACCTGTTTGAACAGGTATGAAATCTGTTTGGTTTTGAATTAAACAGATTTAAATCTGTTGGGTTCAAAATTCAAACAGATAAAATCGGGAGGGACCTATTTGGGTGTACAGTAAAACTAGACCAGTTTATTTCCGAAATTAATTTGAATTCTGGATTTTATTTTACCAAAAAATAAAATTAAATTCAAATGTTTTTTGCCAAAAAAGATAGGTATTAGGCCGGACAAGCCCAACCCAACCTCACATCGCGCCCGCCCGGACGGACGGCGGCGTGCGTGTGGTATTTTTTGGTCCAATGGGTCTAGCCCATTTTGTCCATAACCTCCCTCTCTACAAAACTTGGATACCCCTTGGGGCACACCCCAAATTTCAATCCCATGCCTTATAAACCCACTCAAAACTTCCCACCAAATCAATGTGGGACAAGCCACTTTTCAACCTTTAAGGATTTTCCACCAAAATTCTATTTTCATAGAGCACACTTTGGCTTCAATTTCCCATTCACTCGATAATGGTTTTGAGCAACCAAATATACCACGTGAATCTCAACGCGGCATAGAACGCGTTACCACTTTGACCCGCGAAAATCGACGCTCGGGTCCCACCTAAAAATTAGACCAAAGTTAGGAAAAAATTCTTGTTTACCCAGAATTTTCCCAACCATTTCCAACACAAAATATGTCAATGGATTTTGACCAACAAATGTCTTTACATTCCCAATAAAACTACTCGTCCTTAAATGACTTATAGGGTGGAAATTTGAATTTATCACCAATTTTCTCAATCAAAAATTCATAATGAATTTTTATGCATACTGATGTGGCTTAATGTAGGCTATTCACTTTAAAACAAAATAATCATAAAGATGACAATTATTTACCAAATTGGCATTACTACATTATTCTTGTGATTTTTTTTTATATGAATTTTATATACGAATAGAATTTTTCTTTTCTTTATTATAATTTTACTTGAAATTCCATCTTTACCCTTATCCTTAATCCTAACCCCACCCCCATCCTACTAGCTCCGATTGGTACCTGTTCACTATTATTCCTAGATCTATCAACATGTTCCCTTTCCCTCCACACTAAGCCCCCTCTCTCTCTCTTTCTTTCCACTATCACTTCTTCTTCACCACTCTCTATTACCTCTATAGTCTTGCTACCTTTTTAGTGCTACCTTAGGTAGTTTTCAAACCTCATGACTCACTCTCACGATCCCAAACTAAAACAGACAGAGATCGATAGCGATAAAGATGGAGAGAATTCGAAGTTTTAGCATCCGGTTTGAAAAAAGTATCGAACAAATGACAGTACTTTAGACGTATACCATCAAACAAACAATGGTGGTTCAGTTGTAGATCCCTGTACGGGGAGCAAATATTCCGGCAAGCCCGTATTCCTTTCTTCCAAGCTCCTGCCTGTCCGATCGTTCTGTGAGCACAACAGCGGTGAGCTACCCGGCGGTGTGTGGCCGGAATACCCCTCCGACGATCAAGTTAGACACACACACACAGGGATAAAGAGAGAGAGAGAGGATTGAGTGTATAATGTAAGTCTTACCAAATGTTTATCTACCTCAGTATGGGGGGCGCAGACTCACTTGTATACCTTCTGCGCCCCAAATCTACTCCCATTAGTCTCTCGACACATGGTGCTGCTATCCCATCTGTCAGCGCAAATCTAGCTGAACATCACCTAACCAAGCTGCTAGCCCACACCACTGGGAGCTCGGCAGCCGGGCTGCAGCACCTCGGCTGCCAAAGGCCATGCTGTGTTGCTAGCCAGAGAGCTCCGCTCGCCAAGCTCAATGACGACCAAGCTCGGTTGCATTCCGGCATAGCCGAGCTCGGAACAGCGCATGCTGGTCAGCCGTCGGCCTTCCTGCCGAGCTATCCCACGAACCGTGGAACCTAGTGAGGCAACGGACATCTCGGTGGAACCATCACTCGACCGGTCTCTGCACCCTGAAGCCAAGTAGCTCGGTTCAACCATGCTTTGCCTTAACCGAGCAAAACCTTTCTGGGCAGGCCCATGCTACCACGGCCCAATTGTGTTCGGCCCAAATCTGCCCGGCCATTACCACGGCCCAATCCAGATCATAAATCTCCCTCTCAATTGCCCCTTAATTTCGTCCGCGCAAGCGTGACTGGGATTACTTATTTGGACCGAGTTAACTCTTCCTCGGTACTTAGTTTGCAAGCTGAAAACCGGGCTAGTTGACATGCCTGTCTTCAAAACTTGCTCGGTCGACGCCTCGTCTTGCCCTCCTGTCTCTTCAACTCTGACGCCGTCGTTTCTGGGGACACGTGTCTCTCGCCTATTGGCCTCGAGCAGCCAACCATCACGTCCCTTCACATTCAAAACTTTTGGCGCTCTTTCACCCCTATAAACATGCCATAACACACTTCCTCTCGATCTTACTGACTCTCCTGCGTTCCAGTTGTTCCAGAGCTCCTGTGCCTCTTGCAAGCTTCGTTCCTGCCCTCCCCTGCATTCGTGTTCGAAGAACAAGCTCCTGCCCTCAACTGGTAAGTCCTTCGAGCCTCTTTTTTTTGCTATTT